GCTCAGACAAGGGCTCTGCGTCAGAGGCAGAGATGGGGCCAGGGCAGTCTGGCAGTTGTCAGCTGCCTTCGGAGTCGGGCAGCAGTGAGGTGGGGGAGCAGCTGGAGCCAGGTCCCAGCCTGCGCATGCGCAGAGCTGCCAAAAGAACAATTACAGACTAAGGGTCAATGTGGGAGTAAAGTCACAGGTGGATGGTAAATGGCCCCTCCCATAGGGATTAAAAGAGGAGCAAAAAGGGGAGGGGGCTTTTGCAAGAAACAATTCGTTTGTTGCAGAAGTGTGAAGATTTGTCTGTGCATCTCAGAGACTCTGTGCTGAGCCTTCCTTGTCAGCACTGTGTTTGGAAATATTTACTTGGCAGCTCTCCAAGCTAGATAAGGTCTGTGCTCCTCATTGCACCCTTGAAAGACTGTTTGCCAGGCCTTTGGCGGAAGGCGAATGCAAGAAATTCACCTTTGTTTAATAAAAGGGGTTTTGCTAGGACAAAGGGTCTGCTTAGTGCTCTTTGGGCAAGCCTAGGACAGAACAGTCATTGGGTTGTGAAACATACTGGTGTGGCACCTGGTGGATGAGCAGCCCTTAGTAGACATAGCGGTATGGAAGGTAGAGAGAAACCTCAGAACGCACAGAGCCCGAAAGAAAAGCTGGACTACATTAATAATTTGGTTTATCCCGAGTAATCTTGAACTGCTCCCGCAAAACAAGACCTGAGGTAAGTTTCAGAACCTTACACTACATTCTTAGCGATGGACAGAAGAATGTGTCCTTCGCTAAGGACCGGTGGCAAACCATCGTCCGCCGTTCGCTTGCCTTCCCAATAAATTAATCCATAGCTTATGTACCTATTATCCGTTTGGAGGAATATGCACTAATACTTAAAGGCATTGCTGAGTAGTGAACAAATGACTTAAAAAGAAATGTTAAATAAAATTTTGTACACCAAGTCATAAATTAAACGAATACTGCTATGTGTTGCCTGACCCCAAATCCCCTCCATGCCATTTTGGTTGAATTCACACTCAAGTTGCATTAAAGCAAGAGTATCCAACCGTGGCAACTTTGGACTTCAATTCCCAGAATTCCCCAGTCAGCCAAGCTGGCTGGGGGATTCTGGGAGTTGAAGTCCACAAATCTTAAAAGTTGCCAAGGATGGACACCCCTGCATTAAATTTTCTACCGAATGCTTCTCAAAGGGAAATTGAAACGCTTTGTGTAATATCCGTGCCATCTATTCCATTCAAAGTGTCACATTTGGCAGGTGTGTTTCTAACGGGATCTTGATGACTTTGAAAATTATTTTCAGGTCTCTGCACGGCATGTTGACACCTATACAAAGAGCAGGCAATAAAAGCACACTGTGTACTGCATAAATAATTTCCCTTTTCGAAAAAAACAACCCCAAACCAAAAAAAAAAAAAAAATCACACCAGCTAGGACATGGTTTACAGTACAAGATTATAGGCACTTAAAATTATCAAAGCGATTCTGCGGTTCGTTCTGGCGGATTTTGGGGGGGGGTCTTTGGAAACAGCCTGCGATATCGATTTCGATCTTCGCCTCAAGCTTGAAAGGAAGCTGCGCGAACTTTGACAGGAGCTGTTTGATTTCGGGTCATCCTTTTGATGCAAACACGAAAAGGAAGGTAGATGTAACTCGTCTTCGCATCTCGTAGGCATTGTGAACAAAAGAAAAGAAACGGGTAGCTTTGCACAAAATTGAATGGCTTCTTTAAGTACTCCAAACACGGGAGGAAAAAAAAAATAATTCTGGCACAACACTGTAGAAGACTTAAGGGACTTGTCTGATTACTTTAAGTGTCCCAGACACACAGGCTATATTCTGTCAAGTCCTGGTTAGGTAACATCAGGCAGGAGACAAAAAGCTTGATTTTTCCTTCCATTCACTGCTGTTGCATTCATTTAACTTAAGGCTTTCACAGAAAGCGCGATCCATCTGAATGTTCAATTCAGCACTGAAGAAAACCGATGGGAACCTAAAACTGGGATGAAAATCTTAATGCAGCTCAAAATTAAAATTAAAAAGAAGACGACAAGGCCATCCACACATGTATCGTATTTGTGTGCGCGGATCCCACGTTCTTATTAAAATGTAATATTTATTAGCAGCCTGTAGAATTAGCGAGGAAGTGTGGGCTGAAAGTCAGATGTCCCCTCCTGATCCCACCAAACCTGCTCTGGGTTGAGTGAAGAAGTTCTTAAAAGAGTCCCCAAATTCACTCTTCCTGCGATGTTTCTTTGTCAAATTTTAACGTCTTGCGATTCCACCATCTTGCCCAGGGTTTTCTTAATCCTCAAGGCGGTCAGTCTAGAGGCTGGGTTGTGGGCCCAGCATTCGCACATTAATTTCAGTATGGCCCTTAAACACTGGAAACAGAACAGAACAGAAAAATCTCATAGAAAGGAATACACTGAAATAATATTAACCAACCAACTGTGTAACATGTGCTAGCCTCATTATGCCCAATTTAAAATTGGTCACACACAAAAAAATAACAATAAGCATAGAAAAACTCTGAAGTAGGTGAGTTGACCAGGAATTCAATAATAATAATAATAATAATAATAATAATAATAATAATAATAATAATAATAATAATAATAATAGTAATGGAATTCCTGGGCTTAATGAAAGAGCAGCACAGATGGAGAGAGGTATGAGAAAAAGGAATGTCAGAAAACTAGTAACAGAGGACTACACAGCATAAATTAAAGGATGAAACTATTGTAGTATCCTTTACTTTGGAGTTAAGTACTGTAGTGTCCTTTATTTTAGAGCAAGGGTCTTCAAACTTGGCAAGTTTAAGACTTGTGGACTTCAACTCCCAGAAGTCCTGGAGCTAACAGGACTGGAGGAGGAATTCTGGGAGTTGAAGTCCACAAGTCTTAAATCTGCCAAGTTTGAAGTCCCCTGTTTTAGGGTAAAGGATAAATAAAAAACAGAGGCAATAATAATACAAAGAGGCAAAGGACACAAAAACTAATTAAAGAAGGTCCTTTTAAAAGAGAGTCTAGTAATTGGGGATGTATACATATACTGAGAAACCAGATTTTAGGAAATTAAAAACATTTTAAATATCTACTCTTAGTATTTTAAGGCCTAGCAGTGCTTTACATGTTTGGATAATCTATCAGCGAAAATATGAACAAAGTAACCAACTTTAAATGTGCCCTTTGAACACTGTTATATTCAAAGCTCTTTGATGTTGCATTAATTGTTCACCAAAACAATTTCTCAGAATAACATGATGTGACCCGAGTTCTCCAGCATGGTTTTGTTCTGTTCTAAACATGAAAGAAAACCATTTTTGTGTCTACTCTAAATTTGTAGTCTTGGATGGATGAAAAGATCCCAATTAGAAGCCAGCCAGAAAGCATGGAATTTTTTTTGTAAGAGAGATTAAAAAATAAATAAATCTGAATTCACCCCGAGTTCATTCCTAGTGTGGTGCTTACCTCATCGCTATTCCATCGATTTGACACCACCGGGCGCAGATGTTTCATGCAAACCACCTCTCTCATATCCTCGAACGAAGGATCATTCGGGACCATATCGTAATAGGGCAGTTGGTATTCTTCGACAATCCCTGCGAGAAATTCACAGCTGCTATAAATATTGGGGTGAGACCAGAGGTCACCGAAAATGTGCCTTTTATTCAAGCTGCAGTTAAAGCTCTCACAGGCTTGATTTTCCCAGTTTGGAGAATGCAGTGAACAAAAAGAGAGCCCATTGGTGGCTGTCATGCCCGTCAGAATCTGATGAAGACGACGAACAGCTGACAGGGAATGGGAGTGTGGCTCCGGTGGCTGTGGAAGAAACTGGGGAAGGGCAAAGTCTGGCTGGGCAGAGCAGGGGAGAGGTAGAGCAAGGGAGAGGGAATTCAGAGGAAGATCCAGGCCCACCCCCTCTTCAACCTAGTGCACGCAGGGAGGAAAGGAGAAGGGAGCAATGTGGGTTGGGTGGCTTATGCGGGAGGAAAGGGCCCTGATTCCCTTCATAAGCTGCAGATGGGAACACAGTGTATAAAAGAGGAAGCTGTGTGCAGCAAGCTGTTGGGAGCAAACGTGAATTTATCTTGTATCTTTGTGGCTTATCTGTGTTTCTGGCATCTTCCCAACTGTGTGAGTTTTGCTGTGCTTTCAAGCCTGAAATTCCTTCTCCTGCCCTTTCAAGCTAATTACTTCAGTTTGGTTTGTTTGGATTTTAAGTTACAGTTTGTGTGTCCCTTGTTTTTGGACTGAATTTTCTACAGTTAAAGGCTGATCTTGGGAGAGATTTTCTCCAGCGGAAGGTAACCTGGACATTGGGGGCAAAGTTGGAGATAATAAAGGGACTATTATTGCTTATTTGACTGTGTTGCCTTTGTGCCATGCCCCGGGTCATCACAGTGGCTTTCTCTATTTCTGGAGCAAATTCGATCAGTCCCAAAGAACGTCAGGAGAATAGCACTTAGAGAGCCCACCTGCGTTCCATTCTATTTGCATCCTATTTCTCATGCAGAGGGTTTGCCAAAATATACATAAATTGCCTGACAACTACAGTTAAACTGTATAAAAGGACCTCTGGAATGAGAGATTCTAAATTATCCCGGGTTGTTCAGATACCACGTTTAGCATTTAACAGAATACGACCTTGGAGGTCCTTCCCTTGCAGGAAACCCTATACTATTTCAGACAAATGGCTGTCCAGTCTCTTCCTAAAAGCCTCCAGTGATGTGGCAGTCACAATTTCTGAAGCCAAGCCGAATCACTGGTTGATTGTTCTTACTGTCAGGAAATTTCTCCTTAGTTCCACGTTGCTTCTCTCCTTGATCAGTTTCCATCCATTGCTTCTTGTCCTGCCCTCTGGTAATTTGGAAAAGAGGTTGACCTCCCCTCTTCTTTCTGGTAGACCCTCAAATATTGGAAGACTGCTATCCTGTCACCCCAGGTTCTCCTTTTCACTAGCCTAGACATGCACAATTCCTACAACTGTCCTTCACCACATTTTAGTCTCCAGGCCCTTAATTGCTCTGTAATTTGTTGGCAATCTTAAGCACTCAAAAATCCATTTGAATTTTCCCACAGAAAACACCGGGAGCCACAAAACCTACTGGGGGGGTTGAAAAGCTCAATAAATCGTGTGCCAGCAGGTGTCGCAAATGGGCGGTTGTGACACATATTTTGAGCGACAGAGAGCCACAGCAGAGGGATGAAAGAGCCACATGCGGCTCCAGAGCCACAGGTTGCTGACTCCTGGTTTAGTACAAAAGGATTCAGGCAATGAGGAGCACAGAAGGTTCCACTTGGGGGTGATCTAGGAGGGTTTGAGAGTAATTTTTTTTTTTTACCTCCTGTGATGCATCGCCGAGCCATTTCCCAAATGATCAAGCCGAAGCTGTAAATGTCGGCCATGATGTATGGCTGGAAGTGATTCTTATTCAAAGTTTCATCCAGGACTTCAGGGGCCATGTATCGTTTCGTGCCCACCCTCGTATTTATAGGGACATCGACTTCATTTGTATCGCTAAAAGGCGGCAAAAGATAAGAAACAAAGCAAGACAGAAGACGATGCAATTATGGTAATAACCATACAGAATGTTTACGACGGTAATTTTTTTTAATGCAAACGCACTGAGATTAAACTCATTTACTAATGATTTACCATTTTCAACTGCCTGCTTCTAAGATGGAAATTATACTAATTTACTTCTCAAGCATGAATAAAACGGTATTATTTCTGAAGATTCAGCGTTGAAAGGATTTCTTCATTGTAATGGAAATATTTGAAGCTGCCAAGGAAGAGCAGAATCAACACTGAAATATGCCTTTTGGTCTGAAGCCAGAGATAGTTTTAGCTTGTGTTTTTAGAACGTCAGTCTAGATACGTTTTGACATTAATGTTCTGTCTCGATTATCCCTTTCATGTTTGTTTTACGAAGAAAACACTGAATTGCCTTAGTTTGTCAATGCTGAGCATCTGTTCTTCTGATACAAGTCATCCATGGGAAGGAACAATGCTGTTTAGATCTGTGGGCAGGCAACCCATGGTATGAATCTTATCAGCTGCTCTAGCAAATGACTCAGAAGGTGATTGGCTCTCCTTGGCTTGAGATGTATGAAACTAGATGTCACCTGATGGTCAAGGTGGTGTTGTGGCCCGCCGGCAGCCTGCGGAGACGGCAGCAGAGTGGGACAGTGGGGAGGAACATGGGCCAGTCTGGGATTCTGGGGAGGAATCGGACAAGGGTTCTGTGTCCGATACAGAGATGGGGCCAGGGCCATCTGGGAGTTATGTGCTGACTCTGGAGCCTCCAGAATCTGACAGCAGC